GACTTGAAAAAGTGCTCTATAAGTTCAGTACCATTTATTCTTTAAAAGTCAGACAAAATGATTTTCTCAAATTTTTTTTTCACATTTTGTCTCTCATAGTTGAGTTCTACCTATGATGTCAATTACAGGCCTCTCTCATCTTTTTAAGTGGGAGAACTTGCACAATTGGTGACTGACTAAATACTTATTTTCCCCACTGTACATAATTTTAAAGATATACCGTTTGCTATTGACACAAATAATGCTCTTCCTTTGCTTTATTCTGTCGTGGCAAAATAATTTCCCTAATGAGAATTAATAGTGTTTTTTTTTTGTCATTCAGGTACCAATCATCAAACTGACTGACCAAGAGACTGAGGTGAAAGTGGATATCTGTTTCAACATGAATTCTGGAGTGAAGGCAGCTAGCTTCATTAAAGACTACTTAAAGGTGAGAGGAGCCTCTTCTGAAGATGTTAAGAATGTGAGTTTTGATTGTTAGATGAGGCATAAAGGTCATTTTGAGTCACAGTTTGAAATAAATGGGAGGTACAGATGGAGGATCAGCACAGGAGATAACATCTAACACTGAATTATAAATTACAATAGTGTCTAAAGAGAATTTTGGAAATTCTACTTTTTAATCCAGCAATCTGAAGCATTACTTCACTCCGTCTGGTCCAGCAGACACTTAACAAGGATTTAACACAAACTGTGTCTGTGCTGCTTAAGATCTTATTGCCTAATCTGTTCAGCTGCAGGAACGTTTTGCCTTTCTGCTGGAAGGTGGATTATTTTACGTGCACCAGTCCAAGCTGTTACAGAAAAGGAATTTCTGGTGTTTTTTCCAGTAAGATGTCAGATTGTGTCTTTTGCTTGTTTGCACGTTTGTATTCTAGGAATACATGTTGGAGCTTGAAAATGTGAACTGTCGACAGCATCACTCAGCGTTATTGCGCTTGCTGCTGTTCTTGCGTGGGCGTGACAGACCGATGTCACTGACGGGTCACCTCAGAGACAGTTCTTAAATGTCAGGTTTTCAGCTAGCTAGAGCAGCCTTGTAAATATTTAATGCATATTTATTAAGTAAATCAAACCCTGCTGGTCCTAACATTGATATGCAGGAGCTACAGAGGAGCTCATGATGACTTTTTAGCTAGAAAACAAATGTGCTTGTAACTCATTCCTCAGCCTACATGGCCCCAAAAGGCACCTTTTTATAAGGATATGATTTTGGTAAATAATTGTTCTAAAAGTAACAATTATCTAAAGTTTAACAAAGTGTTGAGCTAAGAGCAACTTAAAGTCAAACTAGGAGCTACTTAAAGTTAAGCTAACAGCTACTCAGTTAGACTAAGAGCAACTCAAAGTCTAAGAGCTATTCTAAAAGATACATAAAGACTTAAAGCATGAATTATTTTACATGCATCAGTCCTGGCTGTTGCAGAAAATAAAACAGACTCGGAGTGGTGTTTTTAATGCATCTGCCTGTGATCCTGCATCAAGCTTCAGGAAAATAAAGGCCTAGTATTTCTTGAAGGAATGCATACTGCCTGTCACCATGCAGGCCAAAGAATAAAACACAGATCTTGTGCAAAATCCTTATCCTGTTTTTATTCTTTAAATACGTTTTGGTTTGTTAGAATTTAGTTTGTACTGGTGCTGGGTAGATATCTATATATTCTGTTTGGGTAGGGCTGCGCGGTATATGCGATAGACAGTAGAAACTATATGAAATTTACGGTAGAAATTTACCCTCTACCGTCCTGTCATCAGTTACGTCATCACACCTGTGTCAACAGGGTGCAAAGACAACTAAGCAGGAGGAGTTTGAAATTTCTGAAAATAAATGAAGAAACATAGCATTTTAAAAGACGTATAGAGAGAATAAATCCTCAAAATTCCCCCCTGCCACTGTAGAAAAGATACGTCGTGCCGTCGTGTCACGGGATCATTTCCTCCCTCCCTCCCGCTGCACGTCGCGCAGAGCGAAGCTTTAACAACTAGTTTTTTCACAACCAATTTGTCAGAGAAAATTTGTTTTTTATGTATTGTTACCCACAGTGATGATAAAAAAAGACATGGACATTTGTTCAGTCATAAATCCAACTAGCTAATGTAACAGTCTGCTCTGAGCGAGCAGCAGAGCAGCAGCTGATAACTTCAACAGGCAGAAGCTCATTGTATGGCAGGCAGAT